CCCCCGCCCGCCCGCCCGTCCCCCTGTCGCCGTTGCCAGGGTTGCCCCCCCTTCCCGGGTAACCCCCGCGGCCAGCGCCGAACCCCGCGCAAAAGCCCTCCGAGACCGCCGGATTAAGGACCGATTAAGCGTATATTGGGCGGCCTCCGTTGGCGTGCATTCTGCGATCGTACACCGGCGCTTCAGAAGCCCGAGGCCGTGGGCGGCCGGCCGGCCGGGCGGCTGCCGCCCTCGCCATCGCCCCCGTCTCCCTGGCCGCCGGTGTGCCACTCACTGCTGTCCGGCATGTGGTACTGCTGCTGGTCGCCCAGCACCACATCCGTGTCTTCCTCATCGTCGAAGGAGTCATCCTCATCCGAGCGGATGCGCACCCGGCAGAGCTCCCGCTCCGGGCCAGCCCCCCCGGGAGGGGTCTGCGTCCACCGGACCCAGTCATCGGTCCCCTCCACCAGGGCAATGTCCACGGTCCCATGGCGGACGGCCCCGGACAGGACCAGCCGCGCCAGCGGCCGGTTCAGCAGCCGATCCACCATGCGCAGCAGCGGCCGTGCCCCGTAGGCGCCCTGGTTGACGGCGGCCGCCGCCTGGACAATGCGCTCGCGCGCGTCCGGCGCGATGACCAGCCGAATGTCCCCCTCCGACCGATGGTGGTGGTGGTGGTGGTGCGATGCCGACGAGGCATCCCCATCGCCGGCAATCGGCACCAGGCCGCCGCCAGCGGCCCCGGCGGCCGGGGCATCGCCGCCGGGGGCCGGCTGCGACACGCCCCCCGGCCAGCGCCGGGCCAGGCGCTGGTTCAGCGCCTCCACCCGGTCCTGCAGGATGGCATCCAGCTCCACCGGTGTCAGGGCCCGGAAGACCACCACCCCGTCAATGCGGTTGATGAACTCCGGCGAAAAGCGCGACCGGAGCTGGCGCAGGGCCACCTCGCGTGTGGCCTGCTCCCGGTGCCGGCGCTCCTCCGGCGTCTCGGCCCCCGGCCCGGCCGCCCCCCCGGTGACCCCGGGCCCGACCACCGCCCCGGCGCCGATGTTGCTGGTCATCACGACCACCGTGTTGCGGAAGTCCACCGTCCGGCCCCGGCCATCGGTCAGCCGCCCGGCGTCCAGCAGCGGCAGCAGCACATGCCGCGCCTCCGGCGCCGCCTTCTCAATCTCATCCAGCAGCACCACCGAGTAGGGGGCCCGGCGCACGCGCTCCGTCAGCATGCCCCCCTCATCATGGCCGATGTACCCCGGCGGCGAGCCAATCAGCCGGCTGATCGAGTGGGGCTCCGAGAATTCCGACATGTCGATGCGAATCAGCCGGTCATTGGCCAGCGACGCCTCGGCCGAGGGCCCGGCGCTCGGCAGCGCGCCATCCCCCTCGTCATCCTCATCGCCGACACTGGGCGAGGCGGACGAATGGCCGAACAGCTCATCCGCCAGCGCCTGCGCCAGGGCCGTCTTCCCGACACCCGTCGGCCCGAGGAACAGGAAGGTGGCCACCGGCCGGTCGGGCGGCGCGAGCCCGGCCCGCGAGGCGCACACGGCATCGGCCACCCGGCGCACGGCCGGGCCCTGGCCACGCACCCGCTCGCCCAGCCGGTCCGCCAGCTCCAGCAGACGCTGCCGCTCGCCGCGCTCCAGGTCGGCCACCGGGATGCCGGTCGACCGGGCGATCACCTCGTTGATGTCGCGCGCCGTGACATAGTCCCCGACCAGCGACCCTGGGGCCGGGGTGCGCGCGCGCGCACACGTATACACACGTATACACACACACACACACACACACACACACACACACACACACACGCAATTCCGCGTTCCGGCGAGGGGGCGAGCGGTGGGGGGAAAAAAAGATCAAGTCCAACACAGCAATGCAAGATGGTTAGTGTCCGCGCGCGTGCACACACACACACACATGTCCGCACACCAGGCCCCGGCCCTGGGGCGGGGGAGCAAAGAAAAGCAGGAAGGCGACAGCATGACCCGGGCGGGAGGCAGCCCATCGACGGCAACAGGCACCCCCCCCCCCCCCCTCGAAAAGAAGCGCGCCACGCACCACGAGCACCGGCCTCGGCCGCGGCAGCCGTCGCCTCGCGGATCTCCGCCGTCAGACGCGGGATCACCGAATACAGAAGCTCACCGGCCCGCTCCAGGCGCCCGTCGCGCTGGGACTGCTCCAGCTCGCGCCGGGCCCGGTCCAGCTCGGTCTGCTTCAGCTGGATGCGCGTGAGGCGCGTCCGTTCGCGCTCCCACCGGGCCGTCAGCTTGGCCAGCACCTCCTCCAGGTGGGCCAGGTCCTCGTCCAGGTCGCGCAGGTGCTGCTCCAGCCGCGCGCGAGTCTCCGACCCGGTGCCATCCCCACCGGCGGCCAGGTCCTTGGCGATGGCCGTGCGCTCGATGCGCTTCAGGGTGATGGCGCGCCGGGCGCGCTCCACCGGCTCCGGGGTGGACTCGTGCTGCACTCGCAGCCGGGCCGCCGCCTCGTCCACCACGTCGATGGCCTTGTCCGGCAGGAACCGATCGGACACATAGCGCGCGGTGTTCTCGGCCGCCGCCACCAGGGCCGCATCCGCAATCCGCACCCCATGGTGGAGCTCATACCGCTCGCGCAGCCCGCGCAGGATGGCCAGCGTGGCCGAGATCGAGGGCTCGCCCACCGGCACCGGCTGGAAGCGCCGGGCCAGGGCCGCATCGCGCTCCACATACTTCCGGTACTCGTCGATGGTGGTGGCCCCCACGCATCGGAGCTGCCCGCGCGCCAGGGCCGGCTTCAGCATGTTCGCCGCGTCCACGCCGCCCCCGCCCTGGCCCAGCCCCAGCAGCGTGTGCAGCTCGTCGATGAAGAGAATGGTCTTGGCATCCGGCTTGGTGGCCGCCGCCAGGAGGGCCTTCAGCCGGCCCTCGAACTCCCCGCGAACCCCGGCCCCGGCGATCAGGGCCGCTGGTTGAGCATTTCCCCCCCCGCGCGCGCGCGCACACACACAGACACGCACGGAGGACGGGTAGGAACAATGGCACGGACAGGGGCACATGCGGGTCAGTGGGTGTGCAGTCGATGGGGGGAAAGACCCCAGCAAACAACCTTGCGCCCGCCCCCCGGAGAAATGGACAGATGGATACATGGGCGGCAGCATACGCACACAGGTCCAGCGAGATGACACGCTTGCCGCGCAGGGAGTCCGGTACGTCGCCGGCGGCCACGCGCAGTGCCAGCCCCTCGGCGATGGCGGTCTTACCGACACCCGGCTCGCCAATCAGCACGGGGTTGTTCTTGGTCCGCCGGGAGAGACTGCGCAGGCAAGGTACGCGCGCACGCACGCACGCACACACGCACACACAACGACAGACGAATGCAAACATACACGTGTTAGTCCAATGTCATGGGCAACCACCAGGCAGAGGGGGCGCTGCTCCGCGGGTGACCGGACCCCGGGAAAGGAGGATCCACGCACATCTGGATGACTCGGCGAATCTCGTCGTCCCGGCCGATGACCGGGTCCAGCTGGCCGGCGCGCGCCTGCGCCGTCAGGTCCACGCCGTACTGCGTCAGCGGGTCCTGCTCCTCGCCCTGCTGCGGCGGGTGCTGCTGGCCGGGCATGCTGCCGAAGCCGCGCGGCGGCTGCGAATGGTACCCCGCGCGCGGGGCCCAGCCCGCCGCGCCGCCGCCGTCCAGGCGCAGCAGCGGGCCCGGCGCGAGCAGGCCACCCGCCGAGCGGCACAGCCGAGGCCGTGCCAGCCGCCGCTGCCCATCACCGGGCACGGGGTCGCCACTCACGGCCGCGCTCATCGACACGGCTCGGGTGGCCAGTGGCCGGAGGGTGCCGCGCGCGAACGCCGCGCCGCCGCGAGTTGACTGAATAGCCAGGCGTAGCATGGAGTACGTGGGTCTCGGTTATGGATGGATATGCACACGTATGGGCGTGTGTGTGTGTGTGCGTGCGTGTGTCTATGTGTAGATTGGTGTAGCGGGTCCGTGTGCAGGAGGTAGCTGACGATGTGTCTGCCTGTCTGCCTGTCTGTCTGTCCGTGCGTGTGCAGGTATATGTGTTTGTCAAGGTGAGCGTCGTAAGGTGGAAAGAGAGGTGGCCGGGGGGCGGGGGCCGGCGCTGCGCGGGGCCTTTTATATATGTACTCCAGCAGATACCCCCCCCCCCCCCCGGCCCGGGGGACGGAGGAGACACACATACGCGCGCTAGATCTTCGATCGACCTGCCAATGGTGCCGGCGCGCCCTGTGGGCTACTTCAGCCATCTTCGTTGTCCCCCCCGCCTCAGGATGCGGTGGCCCGATCGGGGAGCAGGCTTTCGAGAAGCATCTCGCTCCCGCTGGATGGCCCCAGAGCATGTGCCGATGCGCCTCCGCGCGGCACACGCAGTGCCCAGTGCAAGCGAGTCCCCCCCGGCGGGCGGTTCGGGAAATTGCTCGGACACGGGGCTCACGAAAAAGAAAGGCCCCCCCCCCCCCTCCCGCCGCACATCATCGGCCTGTGTGGGGCCTTTCCCGCGCGAAACAGGAGGCTTCCTCGCCGCGCCGGGGGATGACGAACCGGGAAAGACGCGGGGGGGAAAGGGCCGGACCCTGCGTCAGCCGGGGGAATGCCAACCCACGGCGCGGCGCTCCAGGCGTGCCGCGCACATGATCTGCCGGGGTCAGGCGCCAGACTCGGGCCAATCCGCCCCCGCGATCCCCGCCGTGTCCCCGCATGCAACTGATGGCTTTCGCGGCGACGGGGTGGATGGGGGGGGGGGGGGGGGGGGGGCCCAGGGGCCGCGCGCCCCCAGACACACACACCCGCGCGTGTGTGTGTGTGTGTGTGTGTGCTGCGGGGAGG